AATAAGGCTCGTGCGGGGAATTGGATGGGCTTTGGAGAGGCCAGCTAGAACAAAGGTGTTGAGAAACAGGCTTGTTGTCTCAAAAATGTAGAGGCAAATATCAATGACATTTGGAAAATTAGTAGTAGGCACACAGTGCCAAAACGTTTTAGATTCTACCGTTGTCATTTGGATCTGAGTGGCAGGAAGATGAGGTGATGGCTTTAATATTAACTTGCCTGTTGGCCAATCAGAACTCACAAAATCGGATTGGACGCAGCTGAGTTAAAAAAAATACCCATGGACATGAGTGTATGTATATACACGTATGACAAACAGGTTAGGGCAGAAAGTGCTGATGGTACCCCGTACCCTTACTTAACCGTACCAGTAATAATAGCTTCAAAATCAGTTCCAGCATTAACCATGTCCCTTAACCGATTGGGATTTAACTCAGGTCTACAAAAAATAGGGGCAGTATCTATTTCGTATGATAATCAATTTGGTTCAGATTAAATGTTATTTGTCAAATTGCTGACCACGCAGTAAATGAAGTCAATCCTCAAGTTGCGGCTCAGTCGACAGAATCAAGTTTGGGAGGCCAGAATTATCGCGAGCTTTGACAATCGCGTGAACCGCAAGTTATTTAAACAATAACGATGACCTCCCCGACCTATATTTTCTGCTGTGGCTTAGTTTGGCTAATGCAATTCGTCCCCCGGGGAGCACGTTGGTAACCAGTTTACGGACCATGCATCATAACAACATCCAACGTGGCTGATGAAACTTCAGCAACTAACCACTTGGAGGCGAGCAGCGTGCCACAGAGCAAGCGTGCTCGATGTGGTGCTATAGTCAGTGCATCTTGCATATATAACAACTCCCAGATTACGAATAAGCCTTATCTGGTGTTGTCTTTGATGATGGGCTGTAGCGTGAAATCGAAACGTCAGGCGAAAAAATTCCTTGTTTCAGTGAGCATATCCACGTCTTCCCAATACTTTCTTTCCTCCTCTGTGTCTAATTTTGCTACATTTGGCAATAGAAGTGAATATGCGAGTTCCAGGAAGGAGTTCAGAAGAAGAAGATGCGACCATTGGAACAAGAGTTTTATTTTCCTGACGCATCGGAGTCCCTTGGGAATCCTTAATCCTTCATTAATGATTTCCGACGAACTCCAAAACGTTAGACAAGTAAAACTCTTGTTCCAATGGTCGCATCTTCTTCTGAACTCCTTCCTGGAACTCGCATACTCACTTCTATTGCCAAATATAGCAAAATTAGACACAGAGAAGGAAAGACGGAGTATTGGGAAGACGTGGATATGCTCACTGAAACAAGGACTTTATTCGCCTGACGTTTCGATTTCACGCTACAGCCCATCATCAAAGACAGCACCAGATAAGGCTTGTTCGTAATCTGACGCGGAGAAGACTACCCGCGTAGGATTAGTTTTTAATTATAATTAACTTGCTCTGCATCTATCACACTGCCGCGCTCTATCACCCTCCTCAAACTGGCCTTAGTGCTATGACTAAGGCAAAAATACCGCTTTTGGAAACTGATTGTGCATGCTGAATAATGCCTGCCATGCCCTGATCCAGTCCCCGTGTTAGTCCAACATTCAGTATGGCAAGTTCTGCAAGCAACTTTCATGACGAAATTTAACTGGGTAGTTAAGCATATATCTGGTTAGGTTATTTTGGTCAGCTGTGTGGATTTAATACTTAGAACTGCCATCTTAGTTAGAGTTAACGAGCGAAGAAGGCACTAATTTTGACTAAATCACGAGTAATTTTTATCGAACAAATTTCCTATGTTATAAAGCATGACAGAACCAAACTTTTTATATTAATATGCATTGTGCTGTAAATGAGTTCCAGAATAAGCAAAAAAAGTGGAATAATACTCCCTTCCAGAACTGGAAAATTTTTTGCGAAGTTGATCAAATGGAAGTGAAGCCACTTTTTAGGAATCGCATTTATTTTCAGAAACAAGTAAGAATTTAAGTTTTAAAAATTATGTTTAGCCATCATGTGAAGTTTTTTTGCACAAAATGCAGTAACAAAAAGTTTCGTCGGAAACTTTGTTTTACCGCACAGCTATCCTTGCGCATAAGCAAACTTTGCCATGTATGTTACCGTGAAGTAATGCAAGGGAGGCCTTATTAAATGTAAGTCAGGTAGAAATATACTTTTTTTGTAAACTACACGTTCCGTTTATATGTTATTAAGAAACGGAACAGGCAGAAAAATAATAAGTATTTCAAGAAATGGCCATATTTATGGCCAGTCTTTTTTTGCATTTGCAAGCTTATAACACATCATTGAACTAAGCCACGTACGCGGGAAATAGTCCGTTGTAAGGAAAAAAAGTATGTGCTTTCATCACCTGTCAAGCTGAATCGTATATCTTCAGATAAATTAAAGAAATTGTCAAAAGTCTCCAATTTCATTGTGACAATGCCTTGAAAAAAGTCAACATACACAGAAATTCATCAGCTAAATATCCAATTGAAGCACTTTTTAAAGAGGTGACCTATTATGGGAAGTTTTTTTATTAAAACTAGGAATAACAATATGCGTGATATCTAGCAGACTGGTTGTTGCGCGCGCTTCAAATTGCGGTTCAAATTTCTCCTCCTCCGTGGGAAATACTATTTTCGGGATTTCGG